TATATATATATATATATATATATATATATATATATATATACATACACGTTAGGGATGTCCAGAACGCACAAATGCAGATTGTCAAAATCCTATCCCAATATCAGCAGATTTTGGGAGCCTCGGCACTGATTCCGATAGTTCACTCAGGTCGCAGGCTTATCTTTGGGCAGTATCTGTTAAGAACATGACAATAAAGGCTGCTTTTAAACAATGTATGAAATATACAGGTTATGACATTTAACAGCAGTTACAACAAGAAAAAATATATAGTTATATTTATGATTATATAAGCCTCTTGGCTAAAATAAATTTAAAAAAATGATGTGCCAATATATTCTATTTATAAATTAATAAGCAATAAATTAAAAAAATATGCATACTATATGTGTACATTTGTTTGCTATATTATGTACAAATTAAAGTTTTTAAAACAATAAAATTATAACATGCAATATCTAAAAAAACCGAAAGCCCATTATCATGTGAACACTAAATAAACACGTATTTCACAGTTTGTTAAAAGTAATCCTTTAAAGTACTTATAACTAAATCTTTTCAAGTATAATAATTTATTCTCCAGATTTCCAAAGGCAACACTTTAAATATAGATATAAATTTTTGATCCTCAAATCGATTTTAAGTAAACTTTATGACTACAAAAAATATTAAATTTTGTCATTTATCAATTTTTAACTTTAATTTTGATTCACATATTAAATAAGTTTTAAAATTTCCACGCACACACAAGGTTTTAAAATGTATACAAGTCATCAATGAAAACTGACAGAATATTAATCGAGTTACATTTCTCATGATTTTGATATTTGTTTAAGTTTCCAATAACACCTCAGTATCTTGTTTAATTTCATAAGAAATTGTGCTTATAATTCTTTGAAACAAATATATCATCTTCATAATAGAGATAACTAGCAGGACTTTCGTAACAAATCTGTACAACACAGGAGGGACTAAAGCCACATTTATCTAACCCTGAGCAGGCACTATGACCTGTTTTTGTTCTCCAAACTTGTATAGGTTGAAAATCATCCAAGTCCATGATTTCCACAACAAAATAACATGGTACAAAAAGTTCATGTGCTGGAGTTAAAAAAGCCTTGCTTACAGTGAAGATATCCCAAGTAGTTGAATATATCTAGAAAGTACAAAATGTACTTGGTTAGAAAAGTAAAAAAAAGCTAAGTAAGCAAAATTAACATATATACATACACTTTTCTCATAGAAAAACTTCCTAATATTTGAACCTAATTATTTGTTCCCGTGACATCAGTTCAGTTCTTGTACTGCTAACCCTAACAAATCTGCACCATGTTGGCTGAAATAAAGTTTTTTATTAGTAGCTGGAGAGTAAAGGTTACTTTTTATAATAACTTCATTACCAAAATCCAGCTGTTTAGTTCGGTAATAATCCTGATTTTTCGTTGATTAAATGAGAATTGCAGCTACGTCTATGAGAACCATTTATCAGGAAATATCTTACCGTGTTCCTAAACAACAAGATCATCTAACGTTAATACGTATGGTAGGTAATGGGAAAAAAAAATACATGAAATTTTAATTGATTTATAAAGTTTTGCACATACAAAACAGTATCTGAATGGTCATAAACAGGTAAACGTCAGCACAGAAACGGTCACGTTCTCTCAGACGTAGAACACATGTTTAAAAAACGTGTTGAGTCGAAACAGGTAAACCTTTTTGTGTACAAACAAAAATAGTACACACAATATAACATGTATTTTGACATGACAAACAGATTAGTAGCTCATAACAAAATGAATTGTTTATAATGGCATACATTATATACAATACTGCACACAGATATGTTTAACAAGTGACAAACAGTATAGCCACAAAAATGTAACTTGTGCTATCTTATATGTATAACAATACACAACTATATATATATATAAAGACAAAATGTATGTTTATTTGCACCTAACTCCTCTGAGCCTATTGGGCCAATATTTGTATGTAAATACTATGAACTATGGGGGAATGTCCTAAGGGAGTCACAATTGAACATAACCCTATTTATATTTTGTAAAGCCTGTTGGTTAATTACTCCCAGCCTATTGAGTCAATCTCAAACAATCTTGGCAGGTTGACGCTTTAGACAATGTTGAATATTTTAAAGGGATTCAAGATCAAACCCAGTGCACATTTTATATCCCACATTACAGCCTGTACCCTAGGGATTCTATAACTTTGTGCAGCATCTTTAATTTCATTATTTGTTTTGTTCATTAACCATATCTATCTATAAATAAATAGCTCATAAGCTATTCATTACATTAATTGTTAATAGGCGATTAAATCAGCACTATAAAACAATAATGAATTAAATATCGCATTACCATTATTGATCCAGGTTGTCAACTTATTGTCGTAACAGATAATGTCTGTGGTAATAGCACCCAAATGCATTGGGGATATCTCATCTACCAGACAAAATACAAATGTCGATGTCAATCTAGTTAGCCGTCATAGAAAATCATGAAAAAAAGAAAAACTAATGAGGGTATGAAGCCAACTGCTTACAACCACAACATCTCGGAGCTTCTACTACCTTTCATTGTCTATAGCCAGTTGTGTGAAGGAAGTTACCTATAAGTTTCTTATATATGACATACAAGATACACATACATACACAACAAAAAAAAATAAAAGGAATAAAAGTCCAGCTACAATGAACGTTATGATACTTAACTATCATTAAGAACCGACTATATGTACAACTACACGTGCTGTATAGTTTAAAATTATATAACAAATTCTTGTGTATAAAACCTTTGTTGCCAAAAATGAAAGAAGAAACTTTCATTACATAAAAGAATAATTTAAAAATGACACACGATAGAAACAGAATGTATTGCAACTGGAAAGTGCGAATTGCATGAATAGAAAGGAAACCTGGAATTTTGAAAATGGCATATAAAACCCTGAATCTTGAAACTTTTAATACTTATTGTCACATGTGAGCAACGTGTCACAAAGCCTCTACTTTCAGAAGTGGTGTATAATTTATAAATATTCAAAAGTAATCAATAAAGCATCTAAAATGGGATGTAAATATCTATTTCAACTATAAACTCTGTCTTATTTACTGAAAACCAAACATTTATGAAATGTTAAAAAAAAAAAAGGACTCCCCATTGGCTTGGTAGGAAGTCTCTGGGGATTGATACCCCTTGGTGGACATCAGCTTCTTTGGGTACCATCCTTTAAGATCATAACAGTAAAGGCTGCTTTAAAACAATGCAGGAAACATACAACCGTTACAACAAGGAAAAATATATAGTTATATTCATGATTATATAAACCTTTTAAACAATAAATCAAACCAAAATATAGCCAGAAGTCGGACATAATTTTACAAAATGATTAAAATTAAAAACTTCTACCTTTCCTTTAGGAGTATAAATAATACTTTATTTTAACACTTTGACCAATAACATGAAAAGCATAATATGTAATATATCTAGCTATTACCATATTAACGACCATAAAAACATAAAATTTGAAACAGAATTCTTATTAAGTGGAATTTTCAAACATTTTGACATATTTTTATTGCTCTACATACCTGCTTGTAGTAACCATGAGGTTTGTAAGGGACATCTTGTAGTAACCACGAGGTTTGTAAGGGACATCTTGTAGTAACCACGAGGTTTGTAAGGGACATCTTCTAGTAGCCACGAGGTTTGTAAGGGACATCTTGTAGTAACCACAAGGTTTGTAAGGGACATCTTGTAGTAACCACGAGGTTTGTAAGGGGCATCTTTCGTGCTAGACAAACAGACTTTGGGTTTAAAGAGCTGATATAAAAGGTTTACTGACTTCTGGGATATGACATGATATTTTCTGATCAGGACATATTATTGTCATCAGTAGTTGAACAGAAACCGATGATTATGTGGAGAGGAAATACAGGATGAAATATACTTGTACCTTATTTCTGAGAATAACAGAACACTGTTTCATCAAAGTTAGAAAAGACATTTTGTACTAGTCACATGGGATGACAAAATAGTGCATTCTAATTAAACTGGAGGAAGACCTGGGGATGATAGAATACTGAACTTTTCTGGATAGTTCAAAATAATGACTTGCGCTGCCATACAGTAGAGAAACATGATCACATTTGATAACAAAACTGTCTATTCGAGTGGATGAAATGTAGGAAAGACAGTTTGTACCAGTCACTGTCTGACAGAAAAGCAAAGACGATTTGAAACGTTTTCAGAATTATCTCCAGTGACACAGATAACTTGTGACTATGTAAACCAAACATGGGATATAGAAGGCACTCGAAACTTATCACACCACCAGCATTCTGTTGTTGGTCTTTTAAGGCCTTTTCATTGAAGCTTACTTCTGTCTTCCTAACTAGGATGTCTAATGTAATAACGATAACACTTTCTTCTATAGGAAGCATTATTTTATGCAGTGACCTCAAAGTATCCTTTGTGTTCTTCTATAGCTCTCAACACTATAACTTGGTATCTTCATCGCATTCTATATAACGGTTACTGGTTGATGTGTTATTACAAGTGTTTCTAGTTCTATAGAGAGAGTTCATATCCACTATAACTTCATGGTTCCTCAAATCAGTATATGCTGATCTAACCTCACCATAGTCGTCAATCTGTACCTTTAAATCACAGTCGTCGGACATCAAGTTATCTGAGAATGGTACAAATGGAACGCTTCTTCTTCTCTCGGCCTGCAAAATCTCGTGAGCAGCTTGATCCATTTCTTCGTCAGTCATGTTTATAGCCTCGGCAAGTTCTCTTTGTGTGGTTCGAACAAACTCGGGATCACAAAACTTACCTAAACCTTGTTCGTGAAGGACCTTAAATAATCAATAAAAATACACCACCACATGAAATGTGCATCATCATATGAAAAATACACCACTATAAGAAAAATGGACTATCATATAAAAAATACACCACTATAAGAAAAATGGACTATCATATAGAAAACACACCACCACATGAAATGTACATCATCATATGAAAAATACACCACTATAAGAAAAATGGACTATCATATAGAAAACACACCACCACATGAAATGTATATCATCATATGAAAAATACACCACTATAAGAAAAATGGACTATCATATAAAAAATACACCACCACTCCTCAGTGTATTAAGAACAAGCTAAAAAACAAAATTATAAAATAATTGAAACCATTACATAAAAAACATTATACATTTCCTCGAGGATTATAATTAATAACAACCAAGTTTAAAAACCTACAGTGAATAAACTTAGAGTTCATTAAAACTAAACATGAAACATTAAGCATGTTTAGAGTTGACAGAACTTTAAAAAGTGCAATGACAAGAAACATTTGTAGTGTTACTAAAGTTCTGTGTTGCTACTAAGTATTAAACATTCTAACATTTGTAGTGTTACTAAAGTTCTATGTTGCTACTAAGTATTAAACATTCTAACAACTTTAGTTGCACTACAAACGTTAGAACGTTTAATACTTAGTAGCAACATAGAACTTTAGTTGCACTACAAACGTTAGAACGTTTAATACTTAGTAGCAACATAGAACTTTAGTTGCACTACAAACGTTAGAACGTTTAATACTTAGTAGCAACATAGAACTTTAGTTGCACTACAAACGTTAGAACGTTTAATACTTAGTAGCAACATAGAACTTTAGTTGCACTACAAACGTTAGAACGTTTAATACTTAGTAGCAACATAGAACTTTAGTAACACTACAAATCTATGTTGCTACTAAGTATTAAACATTCTAATATTTTCTGCATTAATAAAATAGCTTTTTTTGGAGTGTACACTGCTGATATATTAAGCTATATTTTTAGTAGTGACTTCAGTGGTCTAGCTATTCCTGAGAACACATTTATTAATTTCTGTTTCCTTTTTCCTCCCATTTACTCACATTCTCAGTAACGTTTGTTTTGAATTACAATCATACGAAGTAGCTAGCTCTCCATACGGTAATCTATGTTTTGTTTGTCATACCTAACTGAAAGAGCAGCAAAAGTAGTGTACTGACATATATGAGCAAGAGTTGTGCACTAGCTAATCTAGGAATTGATGGACTGTTTACGAAGCATTTAGTGTAACTGTTGGCTGCAGGATAGTGTATAGTGATGTTCTTCCAAAAGTATCATTCATATTGAACAATTTTGTCAATTCTCACTCACATCCTTAGTTTACTTTTGTGTATTTTTTAATATGTGAAAGATTTTTTATATTTTCATATTTCATGCAAAGATATTCGAAAGCCATCCGTGCTAGCCATCCCTAATTTTGAAGTGATATACTAGAGAGGAGGCAGCTAGTCAACATCACTCACAGCCAACACTTGGACTACTGTTTTAACAATGAATTGTGGGATTGACCATCACATTATAATGCTCCCATGGCTGAAAGGGCGAGCATGTTTAGTGATAAGATTCGAACCTGTGACTCGCCATGACAAGTTAGAACGTGAACGAAAAATAAGTTGCTGATATTAAATTCTTTCATTCATGTCTGGAGTGTCTCAGTAGGCATGACTACATAAAATATCCTAAAGGCACCACTGATAACTGTTTCTATTAATCATCATTCGTGTCTGGAGTGACTCAGTAGG